TGTTGTAGTAAATATGCAAATTGACAAATAAACCATTCATATTTTAATGTTTTACTTAATGTGAGAATGACCCGAGATTGATTGTTCGCTAAAATAGGACTGGAAAGAGAAAAAATAAAAATGAAACTGTGAAATTGGACATTCGAAACAGTGGATATCCAATTGCCACAAGAAGTGGAAGCGAAATTACAACTAACATAAACGCGCGAGAAAGAAGCAAGAAGTAAGCTTTGGTGTTTGGGAATGTCAAACAAAAAAAATTTCTGGAATCAAAGTTTGGAAATAATGACATACTTTACACCTTATACCTACAATAAATTTTGTCAACTAAACTAATGTTACCTTCATCCCCCATTCATTTATTTCAACCACTTATTCATATATTTTCCTTGTCCTATTATTCATTATTTCTAAATTTTAATTTCAAAAATTATTTCCTAAAGTTTCTGGTGTAGCTAATAAAGCCATTCGAGTAGTAATATGCAACCTCAGGGTTGAAACTAGCAAAGATACGGGCAACGATAATAATACAGCCATTGCAGAGATTATTAGCAATTGAACCTTTTCAAAAAGAAATTGTTGCTCATTTTTCTTCCTCTTCCAAAACACATCTAGCGATTGTAGAAGCAACTGCTTGACATAGTTTGTTGAATTAATAACAAATTTGTTTCAATGATCAATCTCTGCGTTCACAGCAAATGAGATCACTTAATCATTCATTTAGATGATTACGTTTTTGTGCTCACAGAAAACGCCATCATTAAATCATTTGCTTAATTCTGAAAGTGTTGTTTCGTAATCTCAATCAACATTTAAGATTGATCTCAAGATGAAAGGGAGCGCGGGGAGAGTCACAGCAAGTCATTGTGTACAAAGTTGCGAATCCGATCAAAACACATAAAACTATCGATTCTGAATCAGCTATCGAAATTCCGGATAGTGTAATACAATCATGGAATAATAAGATTGCTTCCATAAGAACTGCAATGTAATAAGCGAAATTTAGCATAGGATTGCCTTTTCAATTAATTATTTCTCAAACAAATGCTTATTAACATTTATTAATTTTACCAAAAAATATATTAGTCTGATTATGACAGAAAAGATAAACGTTGATACTGCATGCATCTGAAGCGTCCTGAAAAAAGGAGCGAGAAGTACACATTCCGTGTTTCCACCCTGTTTCAGCAGATAAACAAACACATACGTATACATATGCAAAAAAAGATATACGTATACTATGCGTACGTGTGCATAATATCTGTGTATGTGATTCTCGAAGACAGGCATTGAAAATCTTGAGTTAGGGAAGTGGATAAAAACTTGCGCTAGTACTTCGAAAGTTAATATTAACCAATTTTTTTTTCGATTAAATTATTATCTTGCTTCAAAATTCAAATCAAACCTTTTTATACTGTCATGAAAATGAGACAGATGAGGATTGTGAAGCAACTACTTAATGAGTCAAGCAAATTGTGGACAGATTAATTAAGCAAAGGAACAAATCAACGGATTATCAATAACCTAAACAATGAGTGGTTTAAAAGATGTGTTTGGATGAATTCGTCTATATCTATGGCCGAAAAATGAATTCACATCGTTTTAGGGATCGGGGTTACGTCACTGTGACGAGATATACTACGGAGAACAAATTTTAATACTGCTTCTACTTATACTATTTATGATTTTACTAATGATTTATTGGAATTTAGAATGGAATAACATTGCAACTATTTTACTCGAGAAGTACCATTGTAAATCAAATCAAATCATATTAATTAATTAAACCATTAAATTAAAATACAGCTGCTTTCCAATAGATGTGTCAATTTTAGTTTTATGTCTAAAGCAAATATTCAAAGGTATATTTCATAACTAATTATATTTGCCACCTCAAACCTCAGCGTGCAGTATCATTTGCATAAAAGATATCACTCTCACTTTCTATAGACAAAATTTTCTTGATTTACGAAAAAATTTAAACAGATAAAAGAGTTAATAAACAAAAAATCAAAACTGAAATTTGAAACTTGTGGAAACCCTTAAATTACATTTTTCAGTCGCAACTTCTAAAAGCTTCATTATTGCTTGCATACAAGAAAAGCTAATGAGGTCAGGGACAGAAATGATTTAAATTAAATTACGTCATTAATTAATCAATCAGAAAAAACAAACTTATCCTTTTCTCTGCTAATAAAAATGACGGTAACGGACAATCAAAAGAAGGAGAAATTTTATAATGGATATCAGTTTCTGCTACAGGTCATCTATGCCAATGATAACGATGAGAGTTGTAGCAACGTTGTGACAGCAGATCAACCGATATAATGCTATTCCGTGTGAATAATCCTCTTTTAGAAACCTGGCAGGCAAGAGAGAGAAAGAGGGCAGAAGAGAGGGAGAGAGAGAGTACAATCTCAAAGCTTTTATCACCTTATCATTTCAACTATCAATCATCGTTAATGGTGGAAGAAATTTCGACCAAAGAAACTAAATTTCTGAAATAGATGTAAAAAAGACAAGTTGTTAAAAAGTTTACATATTTTTAGGCCGATTGCTCATATTAACGCAGCTTAATTGCTACTTCACTTAACCTGAAAACTTCCATTGTGCATGTCAGCGTGCTTAAGTGCATGCACATTTTTAGAAAAGTTGCTATCTGACAGCTGCGATTTATTTTACAAAAAGATCACTGAAATTTTTCATAGCTCTCAAATCTCTAGGAAAAACTCTGTTTTCATAGAGCTATTAAAATAACTTTAAAAAGATAAAACTTCTTCACTGTGATGGTAGAAATTTGAAAAATTCGTTGATTGATAGCACCTCCCTGATCGCTACACCATAGATTAGGTGCGAATGAATACTTAAATATTGTAAGCTCTTTTCCGGATTCAATGCATAACTATACCTGGCAAGTGAAAGCAAGGAAATCAAGTATTCGTTGTTGTTGTTGTTGAGAATCAATGATTCAATTTGGAAAAAAAAGTCCTACTAAAAGACAGAACCAATAAGGGGGAGGAGGGTGGAAGGAAGAGAATTTAATTTATCAGTACTTTTATCTGCAGTATCTCATATCTATTTGAATAATAGTGAAAAGTTATAGTACTAATTTTCCAATCGTTGAATAAATTATCCGAAATATTTCAATTTGTATAGAAACTCTGTTATCGCTTACGGTACAAAAAACGAATAAAAGTGGAAGACGAAATTTGCTGTCAACAAAGTGTTATTAATGTCATTGAAGTGAAATCGTAGAGATTAATTCATCGATTTGATTAAACGATCCAATTTTTTCTCAAAAAGACAAATTTAGAACTAATTTTTTAAAATTTTCATGAAAAATTATTTTAGATGAAAACATTTTTTTTAAATGAAATGAAAGGAAAAAAAAGGATATATGGCTGGTAAGATGATGAGGGTAGTTGATAGTTGTAGTGATAGTAACATCTGGCACTGAAGCCCCTTGCTACCTCCTGTTCCTCTCGCACCACGATACCGATCCCATACTTCGGCTGTTCGGAGTGAATAGGGAAATGATCGGTGAGTGATTTGTCTCACTTAGCACTCGATACAATCATCACACCAAAGCAAAACCAATTGCTTATTGTCGGATGGATAGATGGATATTCATTTGTATCGTTAACAATCTCTTCAATCATTTAACTGAAAAAGACAACAAAGAAGCAAATTTATTTGTGGAAGTTTCTTGAAAAAATTGCCCAAACTTCCTCTACAACTATTCCCATTTTGGTGCAAAACTTCCCGAACTTTTCCGATGCGTTCAATTTCTTTTCTTTTTCATTATCATTTCACATTCGTGACCCTCTAATGAATTGACTTCCAATTTGAATAAGTGGTACCAGCTGAAAGTATGCAAATGGTGGAAAAAACTGTCAAATAATCATGTGGTGAGGAGGTAATTATATTATCTTCCTGTTTGAAATAGATTACCGGACGACAAAGAACAGAATGATAGTACCCCCTACCAACGTTGAAGATCGCTAAAAATAATCCAAACATTTGGTAACAATATGCCGGAAGATATTTTCGTCCATTTCTTTTCTAATTGCTAAAATTCATTTGCCACCGTGAGGATACAACGAATCATTTCACAATTTGAGAATATTCACGCCACTTGTGAAATGAGACCATTCCAATTAAAAAGAAATTTATTAAAACTTAAATCAAATAACACCTTCGCAATAAAATGTATATTCACAATAATTGTTACATTTGAACAGCTCGTAATAGTATTGAAACATTGCATGAATAATTGGTATAAAACTAATGGAATTTACAAATACAGTAGCCGATATGCATAACACAATAGACAATTATTGTTTGTCACTTTTGAATTGGATTGGAATATTTTTAAATTGCGAATTCTCGACAGCTTTCTTCTTGGCAGTGATTCGGAGGATTCCTTGATCGGACAAATGCGATTCCAAACTGTCTTGCAGTACGTTCTTTGGCATGGTGTATTTCCGAATAAAGTGTTGTTCCACAGAACCATGCCGATCATTTCGCTCCTCGTGATGTCCTTCAACAAGCAGTCTCCCATCCTGCATCTTCACCGACAATTCTTCCGGTCGGAAATTCCTGACATCCAGCTGAATACCAAATTCTCCTTCTCATCGATAATCTAGAAGACATTTTACAGTTAGGACAGTCACAGTCCGGAAATATTACCGTTGTCGGTGGGATGATAGCATAGGAAATAAGAAACGGAAATAGAAAGAACAATACAGAAAGACATGCTTACCTCACCGAGTGAATTTTCACCCGCAGTGGCACACTCCCAAAATGGTTGCATGG